AGCACCCAAAAAAAAGGCCTAAAAAGCATGTCCTTAATGACCGGCCAGGAGAAGAAGGACAACATGGATGTGGACCAGGGCAATTCCAAGAGAGGTTCCTCTACAATGTTCAAGTCTGGAATGTGTGAACCCAAGCCTCGGGATACTGAGGCTGGGCAGGTCAGCCTGAATAAGATGCAGTTCGAGGAGTACCGAAAGGCTGCGCCCAGGTATGAGTACAGTGGAGAGGGGGATGACAAGAGGCTCCTTCCCAAGAACACTCCTATCGAGAAGCCCCTGCCGGCCAAGGCGGCGCTCTTGATTCCCAGGCTGTGGCCACACAGGCGGAAGCTGAAGAGGCCGAGAGGGCTGCAATGGAGGCTATCCGCGGGGATGCAAGGCTTCCTGATCCTGCGAGATCTGCCGAGCTGGTTGCGGCTAGGTGGGGCGGAAAGGCAAGTTATGACAAGCCGGAGGCTCCACTCACCGAGGCCGGGATGAAGAGCGCGACACCGGAGGATCGAGCATATGCTCTCACGCAGCTGAGTGTGGTGGTGAACTTCCACAAGAAGCATTTGTGCTTCGGACGAGGGGCGCCATCGTTGAGTGCGACTGCTCCGCTAAATCCGTACGCCCCCAACCAGATTGACGAGAGCAGGAAATTCCGCCCGAGCGAGCTGCCCAGGAGGGCGACGTACAACCTCGTGGTCTTGGACGGAAAGAAGGATTATCTTGCCGATAGGCAGGAGATCAGACAGGAGTTGCGAGACGTGCCAGGTAGTGGTTCCCACAAAGAGCAGGATGGGCGAGTACGTTCCGGGTTATGATCAGGCGGTGGCGGCCACAACCGCAGGAAGGCTGCGCAGGCTTTGATGAAGCTGCTCACGTGCGAATTTGATGACATGGTCATCAACTCGAAGAGGGTCTCGGAGTTATTCGAGGAGAAGGTGCTGAAGGAGACTGGACGTGAAGCTGGAAATTGGGTGAATGTTGATCAGGCCGTGTGGTTCCTGAAGGAGGTTGTGGGGATGGAGAATGCTGAGATGACTTGGACATTCTTCAATCCGGCAATCAAGGCTCTCCCGGTCGGGCAGGTTGAGGTCATGCTGATGGCCATGTACGATGAAGCAGACACACCAGGTTGGTGGCCGTTAGGTTCACGCGGATCGGACGGGATATGAGCTTTCAGGCTGTGCGACGTAGGTACATGGGGACGCTCCTGATAATTCTCTCATGTATGAGACGCACTGGGATGAGATTCCTATGGTGGGATACGTCGTGATGAAGTTCCAGGACTTCAGGAAGGCAGTCCAACTCCAAAGGATGAGGCGGAATGGAAAGGCCATGATCGAGATATTGATCACGAGGCCAGACGAGTACGACTCGATAGGAGATGGGAGACCGGATGAGGGCCTGGTTCCAATCACGGTGCCTATGCGCTCCGATGGCGAGGTATCGCCTTCGTGGTACGTCAGGGACAGACTGCGGAACTACTCAGGTAGGCACGTAGTGGTCATGGTGGATCTTCGGGTACACTGGTCGCTGATTGGGCCCGTATATCTGACAAGGAGGAAGACTCTTGCCGTTCGGGACGAGATCCAGATGGGTGCGTGGAAGGCTGCATACAGCCGCATACATGTTCGATGATTACACGATAGTGTATCATCAAGTTTGGGACTATGGTGATTTTGCCCCCGATAGGGGGAGTCACAAGCGGACGTGAAGATGCCAGGTTGAATGTGACCAGTACCTTCTGTTAAAGGTGCGCGGAGATCACGCTATCTGGGATGCACTTGTGCCCTGGATGCGCGCTCCCGGTTTTCTACCCGAACTTCATCCCCAACGCGAGGCGGACTTCGCGGGAGCCGCATTGTCCCTGAGTGGGTGAGGAGCATGGGACAGTTCAAGCCCAAGAGGATCGCTTCCGATGTGGTCGGGGTCATCAAGAGGAACTTGATTTCCTATTCGATGGCATCCGACCTGAGGTTGACGGTGCAGAGCGGGATCCGGTTGCCTCCCTATCTTGGGAAGATAAGGGTGGAGTCGACGTGGCATGGGGTGAAATGGCGAAGGTGCTCTTTCAGTTCTCCTACGTGTCGGGCATCTCGGCATCGGACGCTTTCGTGGAGAAGTGGGTGGCAAGGCACCTGATCAAAACCAACCAAATCGATAGGTTTGAGTCGGTGACTGAGTACTTCCGAGCGAATCCGGCGCATGCAGCCCAGTGGGGAAGACGTATGACGACTTCCGTTAGGAAGTTCGCTCGTCATGACACATATTTTGTCCTTCTACATTCCGATGGCTTATGTGATCGGTGCTGCTGCGGGTCATCTGACTCCGATGTATCCAACCCATAGGAAGGATGCAGATATCCTGGCTAGTCATCGGTTGATGGCTGATATCAGGAACTACATGGTCTCGTCGACGGGGTACGACGAGAAGAAAAGGCTGAGGGAGGCGATTGCCAAGGTGCAGAAGGCGAGCAATCATGGACGGTCAGAGCCTCCTGTCCCTTTCCGTGATCCATTCGTCTACGTTAGTGACGAAAAGGGGAGGACCGTTGTTGATGGTAAACAACCTGAGCCGCAAGACGTGAACATCGGCGAGCTTCAGTCGGTGCATCATGCTGCACAGGGTCCTGGCCCGAAGCAGGAGCCGGTCATCAAGGGCGGAAAAGGAAAAGGGAAGAAGGGTGAAAAGGGTGGTAAGCGCGATAGTACTTCCGACCCACGACCGAAGTCAGGTGAGGCATCGGGAAAAGGATCTGGCAAGGGTGATAGCTCCGCCGTTCCAAAAGCAAAGGGCAAGGCTACTTGATCCACCTGAGGCTCAACCGAAGAAATCTTGGGTCGCGATCGCGGTTGAAGGAGCTCGGCCAAGTGCAAAGGCAAGAAGGTTGAGGTCAAGAAGGAGAAGGGGAGTGGTGACGATGCTCCCGGCGATAGTCGGGGCTCGGCTGATAAGCAAAAGAGGGAAAGAAAATCTCGTTGGGATCCAGAGGTGCCTGCCAAGGAATCTACGAAGCGGGAGGCATCGAAGAGACCCGACGATGTTGACAGCAGGCCAGGTGCGGCGGCGAGAGAGGCGAGTGGAGATGATCTTCACTCCGCGCTTGGCAGATCTTCGGCAAAGGACGCGGTAGCGCCCTTGACTGCTTCCAAGGCAATGGCAAAGAAGCCCGAAGGGAGTGAGGTCAGGCTGCACTCAGCGGAGCGCGTTGCTGCGAGCCCGGTAGAAGGTCATTTCAGGACGCTACCGGATGCTTCGACAGTGGATGCGTTCCTGGCGATGTCCTCCGACAGAGTGCTCACCAAACAGGTTAGAGAATTCATCAGGCACGGCGAGGATGGCTCAGCGTTGGAAGTTCTCAACCAGCTTGTGGCAAACTCCCGTACAGAGCGAGCGCGTCGGGGTACGGATGTCTCTCGCACACCCTCCCGAAGGTCCGTTAGGACTCAGGAAACTAGGGACTCTCGAGAGTCGAGAAGGACCGTGCGCGGGGCGGACACGACCGGAGGAGGCGTGATGACAGCCGATAGGCTGATTCACGAGGGCTGCGGCCGATAGGCTTGCGCCCGCTCCCCAATGGTCGGCGCTGCGGGGTGATGATCGCTATCCTCCCGCACCGCTGAGGCGCGGAGTTCATGTCTTTCCTGCACCGCTGCTCGGCTGCTGGTCATGGACACCATGAAGTAGTGTGAGTGAGAGAAGATGCAAACTGGTGGAGGATACTCCCAGGTTTGCGGAATTCGTGTGTTTTACCGGTGCGCATGCTCAGGAGTACTTCTTGCCGATAGGCGAGGGTACTAATGGACATGCGTTATCCTTTGTTTCATGGCTTCTGATAAGAATTGAACTACTTGCATTTCTGATGCAAACAGTTGTGGCCTGTTGCCGTCATGTGGACTCTTCCACAAGGTATGTTGGACAGCGTTACCCCGATTAATTCGGGGTGGTGGCGGGAATTTAATGCCCGGGATGTCGCGCAACTGCCTTTGTGGGTTTGCTCCACCGCTGACGGCGGTAGTGTCCAGCTGTTTGCGGACGAATGCGAGCAGTTAAGTCCTATCAGAAAATGGCACGCTCCACCCGTCATATGACGGGCTCCTCGTGAGGGGGGTGTGATTAGCCATGGTTTAAATCATCATCTGGGAAGTCGCGGTAGTGACTGACCGGTGGTGTTTTGGCTCAAGTTTACGGGTTCCGTCGCGCCTCGGATGGGCGTCGCCGAGCCCCTGCGTCGACCGACGGCATCTCGGGGGAGAAAGAGACCTCGGGCCGCCGTCAGGTTAATAGGGGCTATTCGTGCGGCCTGTCGTCGATCAAGGTTGCGGGTTAACTCTTTTCTCTTTTGGTTGTTGTTCTCTGGTGTGTGGGAAACCCAGATCTTTGGGACCGGGGATTGGTTTGCTTTTGGGGAACCTTTCTTTTGTGGCTCGTTTACCCCAACTTACCCATTGCCTGGGCACAGGCTCGTGCCCGAATCAGGAAGTATGGGGTGTGATCTTATAGCGGTATGAGAAATATTGCGCACCACTGGCGCTGGTGCGCTTGAACGTATGCAAGAACCTCAGCTCCAGTGTTTCCACTGTCCGTGAGGAATTTTGGAAGGCGACAGAGAAAGGTAAAGAGAGAGAGAGAGAGAGTGACGAGAAGAGAGAGGAGAAGAGAAGAGAAGAGAAGAGAAGAGAAGAGAAGAAAGATAAGAGAGATAAGAGAGATAAGAGAGAAGAGAACAGAAGAAAAGAGAAGAGGCGGCATTTGTGACGGGTTTTTGATCACGACGTTCGTTTTTGCTTTGCAGCTCTTGCTTCTCCAGCCTGTCTTCTAGCTTGGCTGCTTTTGCAGGGGCTTATTGCTGGCTTGCCTCCGGCCTCCGGTGGATCATTAGCAGATGCCTCTGGGGTCAACATACAGTAATCGGTTTGCAAGGGCAGCTTCCACATCAAATCATCGTATAGCTTCAGGACCATAGTTAGATGCCAGAAAGACCAAGCTAGGCAGTTGCTTGCTTGACACAGGCGCAACTCTGCCGTGCTCTTCGTGCATCAAGAACACTGCCGTATACGCCGCAGGGCTGCTAGGAGGAGAGAACGATCTGCACCGTGCCACTCGGGGTATCACATTCGCCGCGAATTCGACAGTTGCTGTTGTGACGTAGGGAAGCAGCGAGGGAAGTTTGGTAGGAAGGCCGACCCTTTTCTCGAAGTCCAGCATCGCTGAGGCAGTGGGCAAGCTCTGCCATTGCATGAATTGGGCGCTGAAAGTTGTAATTTTGTGCCGGAACGGGGACGGTACCCCAAGGGTCTGCACCCAGAGGCAGTAACGCTTGTGGAGCAGCTTGCAGAGCAAGACTGCGATGCACCAGTGTTGGTGAACCTGTTGGACCGCGCCTGCGCTGCAGCAGCAGACTCGCAGCTGCGATCAAGCCTGATCAGCGCGGGGCTGCAAGAGGCCCTGGGGTCCATTTTGCTTGGCGCTGCTGACGCTCAAAATGTGGACCTAGCGCGGGCTGCGCTGTGTAGCCTGTGGAACCTCGCCAGTTCCCACCGTGCTGCAGTGGCGGGCGGCACTGTGCCGCACGCCTTGTGCGACGCACTGGCAATTCGGTCTCCGGTTGTGGTCGAGTGGAGCGCCCGCGTGGTGTGGCTGCTGGCGGAGGAGCCCGCAGCGCGTGAGCACCTCCTGGCCTGCAACGTGCTTCATGCACTGCGCTCGTGCGCCCAAAGCGGCACGCAGTGGGTCGCCCGAGCTGAAGCGCGACTACGCGAACAGAAAGATCTGGAGCCAGCAGACGCACTAGCAGCTTGCACTTCAATCCCTCTCAGCTCAGGAAGCAGAAAACCCAGAGTGGCAAAGGCCGCATCCAGGTCGCATTCATCATTGACCCTGTGATTGTCTTCCGTGGTGCTTGGTGAGCGGCAGTTGTCGTTGCAGCAAAATGCTGAGGATGCCCTCGCCCATTCAGTTCTTGAAAAAGTTGCGCCCGTTGCTACCGGCACGGGGAAGCAACGCCTGCTCCCCAGCTCCACTGCTCTTTTTGGGAGGAAGCGAACGCGCGCAACATTGGAGTGCTCAGGTCGCAGTAGAAGACCGACCTGCAGATGCACTTGGCTGGACTGATGGCGAGGACAGAGCAACGAAGGACTGGAAGAGGTGCCCAAGGTCTTGAATACAATTGAACACTTTCTTGCAAGCAGTAATGAGCAACATTGGTCGAGCTTTTGCTGAGCCCTGAGGTGCCTTCTCACTTGGGTTTTGATGCTTGGCTTGGGGGGAAGGGTGGATAGGTTTGATTGAAAAGCGAGGCAGAGCAAAGATCGTGGTTGGAGAGCGATGCAGAGGGCCATTGAGCATGGCATGGTCTGCCCAGGATTGGATGGGCAAACGTCGTGGAGGATAAGTTTGCCCCAATGATGCTTGGCGTGTTCAATGGAGTCCCATGTCCCATGGTTGCACTGACATGCATTGTTGCTCGCCATTGCACGGTGCGCCGCCAGGAAGCTTCTGCGCTCCCTGAGGGCTTGGATGCCCTACAGAGGCTTGAGGCGAGCCGGCGCAGACGGGAAGGGGTGGCATGGCATTATCGGCGAGCGCCAGGCCCGAGCCGGAAGGCATGACTTGGATGCAAGCAGATGGGCGCATGCGACGACAAGCCGAGAGGAGCGAGTGCCACACCTGCCCAAATGGGAGTGTGTGGCAAGGGACGTGTGCCGGCCAGGACCTGGCTACGAGAAGTGGTGGCCTGCTGGCATGGCTTTGTAGCCTCGCTGCTGCCACCGTTGCAGCTACTTTGCTGGCTGCGGCCCTTCATCCCGCACAGAGGCCAGGAGGGGTGGCTGGTTGGGTTGAAGGATCGACTTGGCGATTGCTACTGTGCAGGCCTCCGGCCTGAGCAAGAGGAAGAGAAGGTCATGACCTGGCCGGAACTGGAGGAACGTATGCGTGAGCAAAGCTTCAGGTGCCTTGGCTGAAGAGTTTTGACGGTTGTGCAGTAGAAATTGATGGGCATTTCGGCCGAGGTACTGCCTCCTTACTTCTTTTGAGGCCTGGCTGACCTGGCTCTCCACGGAGCGGCGCCAAGATTCCGTGTGCCTCAGCAGAGCTGGCACTTTTCAATGTTCCTGCACTTGGGGGAAGGCGCTGGCTGTGGGAGATTTCACGCACAAGCCAAGGATGTGGGTCATTGACACCTCAAGGTGGCCCAGGCCGTGGCACAGCACTGCGCCCTGGCGGGACAACACATACGCTGAAATGTCTAAAATGTTTTTAGACTCATGGCATGGCCCAAGATGCCAAAGGGTAAGAAAGTTAAGAAAGGGGAAGATGTAAGGGGCGAGCGAGATGCAGCCCGCCCAGGAGCGGACCTGGGCGCCCGCGGGCCGCAGCCAGCGTCGCGCGGAGTGGGCGCGGCACAAGGCTGTGCAGCTGCGGCCCGGCACAGGGCGCAAGGCAGACACACAGCTTGTGGGGATTTTTGCGAGGTTCATATGCCTTTCTCTATGCAGGGTCACACACCCTACCTGAGGCGGGATGCCGAGGAGGCACCCAAGCTGCAAGTTTGCCGACAGTCAGGTAGGGCTGGGCTAGGCATCTACCAAGATTTGCGCAGGTTTGCGTTTGCTTGCAGAACATGGCCCGAGCACTGGTCTCGCAGCAAGGAACGGCAGCGGCAGCTGCGGCAGCGTGCGGAGGAGGTGGCGGCAGTGGCAAGCCATGCGCGGCAAGCAGTGGAGGAGGAGGTGGGATGTTTCACATATCACTTGTAGTGTGTCGTATAGTTTGTCGAGCGGTGCCACATGTCTGTTCTCAGGTGTTGCAGGATCGCCGGAGGCGACCAACTCTGCGACCTTATGCCACTGGCTTGAGATGGACGAAGTGGTTTTATTAATATGTCTATTAACCAGGCTCCCGCCTGCTGCCGCCGACCCTCGGCGCATAGGGAAAAGTCACAAGGACCGGTCCTGAAACACGTCCGCAAACCCAGGGACCACTTATAAGATCCTCTACGACCACAAACAAGGATTAACGGAAAAGTCAGAAATATGGCAGCTAGTCCGTTAATTACCGCTTGGGCCGGCTTGCGCCCAAGTCACTTCGAGTTGGCCCGGGAGCGCCCTGAAACTGGCCCTCCCGAAGTTGCCCTGGACCGGTCGCCGGCAGGGACCGGGACAGGCTGGTCCCAGTCTGGCGCAGTGTCCTGAAACACGGGTGCCAGTCCGGAAAGGCGTGGAGCGGTTTGAGGTGGCAGGACTCCATCCCGGGACCGGCTTGAAAGCGGTCCTGGCCGGGACCAGTCCCAGGACCGGTCCCGGTGCTGGGACCGGTCCCAAGACCAGTCCCAGGACCGAGCCCCGGTCCTGCACTGGACCGGTCCCAGGACCGGTTACTACAAGCAATCTGAAACAGCAGAACCAGGGGTCCCAGGACCAGTCCCAGGACCGGTCCCAGGACTGGTCTCCCGGGACCGGTCCCGGGACCGGTCCTAGAAATCCACTTTTCGTGCGTTCGGGCGTGTTTCCAGGGACTATCATTGATTCCAATCACTTCCAGTTGCATCCCACGCCCGTCCCCCCTGCAGGAGGCTGGGACGGAGGCAGAGGGTCGGCGGATTATGTTGCGGAGGGTGTAGAAGCTGTGGCTACCATAGAATGCTTTGCCTGGCTTTGGCCGAGGAGTTTCCTGCCGTTCTCCGCAATGACACGGAACTTTCTCCTCGTCGCGAGACGTACGACTCGCCCCGCGCATCCCCAAAGAAGACATCGCCGCGGTGAAATAATTCGAGCAAGAACTGGGCGATTTGACTGGTTGTTGGGCCTGTCAACTTGTACCTGCCGCGTGGCCATCTACACAGACCAAAAATTGAACCACAGCACCAGTGGTCTGGGAGGAAGGGGCAGAATAGCCTTGGATCGAGGCCTTGGCACAGCACATGGGTAAGCAAGCCATACTTGACTCTTGTGCGTTCTTTGAGAAATGCGGCATCATCACAAAAGGTGGTGGCCAGATTTGTTTGGAACTAAGCCACTGAGCCCCCCTCCCACATGAAGTCAGATAGTTGTGCAGACAAGGTCTACCTCAGACCCTGTGACGTTTTTTGAGCAGTTGTTTGTTTTTTCACTGATGGCGCCATGGCTCCCCTGCATGACGCGACCTCATTTGCGGAGACTCCGGCAATGCTCATCAGCGGCACCCCGTCCCGCAAGGACTGCAAGCTTGAGCGAGCGACTTTTGCTTTTGATGGCGGGTGGGGGAAGGAGGGATGCTGCAATATGCATTTGGCCGGTTGCAGGAGCTCTGCCTCGTGGCGAGTGCTGAAAGTGGACTTGGACTGGAGGGGTGTGAGGCCTGTCTCTGCTTTCTTGTCAGGGAAAGCGTCTAAACTGCACGCCCTTTCAAACGGTGACCCCCAGTTCCGCTGAGGCCGCGGTGCGACGCGGCGACGGCCGTGAGATCTGGCGTTTCGGGCGCCGCATCCGGGCGGCCAACGGCCTGTGCCTGGCGAAAGGCGCGCCGGGGCTGGCGCCCTGTGGCCCGTGGCAGGAGCTTTCGTTGGGGGTGTGTTTGTTTGGCGCATAACGACCCATGCGAATGAGAGCTCGCCCTTGAGTGGCAGGAGCAGGAGTGGCAGCTATTGGGCACCAACCAGCTGAAGCTGTCAGGCTTGAGGGGGCACCAACTTGAGGCCACGTGCTTGAATGCAGTTGTGTGCAGGCTCCGGCGTTTGCTTGAGCGTGAGCACGGAGAAGGATTTGGATGTGGCTCTGGGACAAAGCGCCCACAGCTCCAGCGACCCATGCGACCCCATGCACACAGCTGACCGGGCAGTGGATGGGAATCCTTCCAGCTACTGGGCAAGTGAGGCGCCCGTGGGTGGCCAGGTCGACTGGGAGCTTTCGTTTCCAAGGGCCAGGCTGAAGTCTGCAGACATCGACTGGGAGTTCCCGCCATCCGGCTTCAGCCTGCAGGTCACAAAGGATGGCGACCACTGGCGGGAGGTCTATTCGGTTGCGAGCAACCCACTGCACTCTAGCAAGTCACAGATCCCACTGGAAGGGGTGGAGGCAGTGGGTGCCAGGCTTCGGATGGACGCCGATCAAGTGGTGGGCATCCGGAACTTCAGGCTCCGCTCAGGACACTTGCCTACTCTCGAGCCATGCCAGGATCGTATTGCCCGCGGCAAGTGGTTCCTGATTGGCGTCGTGGAGTTTGACCCTTCCAAAAGACTGCGCAGTGAGGAGGGCGCATGGAGGCCGCGTCCTGGATGCACTTGTCACACGGGTTGTAGGCCATGCGCAGTCCTCTTTGATGCGAGCTGCAAGGAAGAACCGCCTGGGGGCTGACAAGAGTTGGGTGCTGAATGGCCAACACCCTCCTGTGGCTTAGCAGCTTTAGCAGATGGACCGTAGCGTTTGGAAGCAGTGATTCAACCGGTCGAAGCGGCAAGGGACCGGAAGCCACAATAAAAGCATTGAATCCAAGACCATGTCTATGTCAAGGGTCAACAGGGCGGCCGCACCTTTTTTCCTATACTGGCTCTCACTCTGGGTTTTGATTGTTGACCCTGACCCATTCCGCCAAGGTGTCCTTTGCCGCCTCGTCTGACTTGCGACTCGGCGCTCGTATAGAACATGGTTTGCCTCTCTCGGTAGAGGCAATCTCTCTGGGCATGTTGCAGCAGCTCATGGCGGGTTTGCCTCCAACGTTGGACATCCGCAGCATCAAGCCTGAAACTTCAGGAAGCCGTTGACGCTGTGGCGCCAACAGCACCGGCGCACTGTGGAGGGCTTCCTGTGTGCAGCAGCTTTTGTCCAGGACGGCAAAGTCTACACCAATTGCACCTGGGCCTTGATCCAACGAAACACGTTTCTTGTGCACAAAATTCTTGAAATTGCTGAGGCACTGATGCACCAACGCCAAGAGGGGTGGCTCAGCCACTATAGTTGTCATTCCTGGGGCCAGAGAGAGGTCGCTGCTTTTCTAACTTTTCTCAGCCCCTTTTCGTCTACGTAGCGTCTGGCCATGCCTTTTTTTTCATCCAAGTGTGCGTTTGGGCACAGAGCACGGATGGGCATGACTCGACATGACCCAGCTTTGCTGATACGTGCGATGAGCCGCAAGGACTCGGGGCGAGAGTGGTGCTACCTGGACCCGGGGCAGTGCGATGGGAACTGGGGCTACTGCACGCCCGTGGTGGACTACGATGCGCAGCGCTTGGCCATTGGGAATTTATCATTTCCACGCGGGGGCACTCGAACCATCCACTGCAAGACTTGGGCAAAGCTTTGGGTTTGGCACGGGGCGGCAAACAATCGCAGTTTGGCCGAGCTGCTTCTTCCCTCTCAGAACAGAGAATAGTGAGCAGTCTGAGGCCCTACGCCGCTCCCTTTGAGTGGTACAAAGGCAGTTGCGAGCAGAAAAATGCAGCATCGCTTCGCGCAGGGTCAGCTGAGGCTTTGGAGAGCAAATGTGTCTTGACAGTTGAAACACGTCGGCCAATATCGAGGCTGGACTACTTCTGCCAGTGGTGGCTGCGGCCGCACAAAGGCAGATTGGGAATCGTGGCTACTGTAGCTGCACGGCTTCCTCGAGGCGCCGGATGGCATGCTTGCCATGGCGCCAGGCCAAGACAAGCTGCACGAAGAAATCTTCGCTGCGCTGGAAGAGGCAAGTCTTGCCCTGCCCAGCCATGCCCCAGCCTTACATACCGTACTGTTGCCGCACTGCCGACCAAGCGCGGTTGGGAATTGCTGCCTGGCTTCAGCGCAGAATGGCGGGTCATGCCTCGTGAGCATAAGTGCAAGCTTTGCAAGCGAGCACATACCGAGCACACACATATGACAGCTGAACGTGGACTTCAGCACTAAACGAGTGAGGCGTGCGGTCAACAAGACGATGAAGCAAACTAGCACATGCAGAAGTTCAGCATGCCAATGGCCATAGGCCATGGCTCACTCTAGCAGCCCAATCTGAGCAAGAGGATGCAACTTGGTGGAGAACATTGGTGCTAGCTCATGGCTTGGAATCAGAGATGCCCAGGTGAGCACTCTGGTCTCATCATGCTCAGGGGCGGCCGGCGGAGTAGCCTCCCAGTGCTCAAAGGTCGCGGCATCGATGCGGCGGCAGAGCCCAGAGAGCCCTTACCACCAGGAGAGGTGGGAGGCGTATTCCCAAAGCAGTTTTGTATGGGTAAGTAAGGTGACTTTCCTGGTGCCACTCCCTCTTGGCTGTGAGGATGGATTCGGGTGGAGTCGCGCTCCAAGCCGGGCACATTCTATTATGCCCACCCGGCCACGAAGCGGACTCAGATGGAGCGGCCAGTGGATGCGCGGCACGCACCCCGTGCTGCTCCGAGCGGTCCGATCATGCCTGTGCCAGAGCCAAAGCGGCCTGAGCGGCCGGAGCCCGTGCCGGTGGAGGATGAAGAGACCGCAGAGGAGAAGAGAGAGAAGGAGGAGGCGCGGCGAGCAGAGCAAAAGGCCCGAGAGGAGGAGGAAGAGAAGGAGAGGCAAGAGGTGCTTCTCAGAGCACGGGCAAAAAGGGCACAGCAAATGCTTGAGGAGGAGCGCCGCCGTAAGGAGGAGGAGGAGCAGGAAGAGGAGGAGCGGCGGAAAGCTGCAGAAAGAAGGCGAGAGAAAAAAGTTGAGGAAAAACGAAGGGAAGAAGAGAGGCAGCGCCAGACTGAGATTGACTTGGTCGACAAAGCCTTGGACCAAGCTGCATCACCTGCGGTGGCTGTTGGAAGGCGTGGCGACGGATCCCGGCATTCCGGGGCGAAGTGGAAGAAGGAGGCGGAGAAGGAGGACGAGGAGGAGGTTACTCAGGAGGACTTGGAGAAGTGGAAGGCTGCGGAGGAGCAGCGCGAGCGTGATGAGGTCGAAGCCAAGCGCCGGAAGATCGAAGAAGAGGCGCGGCGAAAGCGGGAGGCCGAGGAGGAGGAGCGTCGGAAGCGGGAGGAGTTCGCCGCCGCCGTGGAGCGAGCAAAGCGAATGAAGCGGGAGGCGCACGACCGCGAGAAGCAGGAGGAGCTCAGGAAGGAGGCCGAGAGGCCAGAGCGGGCACGGGAAGTAGCGCAACCGGACCCTGCCATGGCTGCGCAGGCGAGGGACATTCCCTCAGTGTCCATCCCACCGCAGCCACAGCAGTCTCAGTTCATGCAGCCGCAGTCAATGCCTTTCTTTCAGCCAATGCCGCCAGCGCCGCCCCCCCCGCCCCCTAAGCTACTACCCACACCACCCACACTTGCCAACCTTCTCAGCGGTGCAGTGGCGAAGCCTGACTTTGGCTCCCTGCTGAAGCATGGGAACGAGGAACTTGCTCCCGCCGCAGCCCCTGACTCGGGCCCGCAGAGCGGAACCATCCTTTGGTTTAACGGCCGTCGCAAGTGCGGTCTTTTGTTGGCAGATGATGGCAGGCAGCTCAGAATACCGATCAGAGCAGCCAACACTGGCAATCTGGCGCCTCCAGTGGCTGGCTTGATGCATGGGACTCGGGTCACCTACATTTTAGACCACAGCCTTCCTGACAGCCCCGTTTGCAACATCCGGCCTCTCCACGGTCAATCTGGGTTGAGCTGCGGTGGCGACAGTCAGAAGGGCGCGCGTATGGCCAACGAGGATCGGACCATCGCGACGGATTTGCAGGACAGCCTGGGGCACATGGTTGGCATTTTCGATGGGCACCGGGGCACCTTCTGCGCCGACTACCTTTCGCAGGCACGTGGTTCGAAGAAACTAGATACGAGACTGTCAGCTGCAGGTCCACCCAGTCCAACCTGTCAAGGTTGGCTGGTCCCACATCCCTTGTAAAGCTAGACAGGCGCCTGGCAGTCCTACCAGTCCAACAAACAAACAGAGAGAGAGACAGACGAACAAACAAACAGTCCAGCCAGCGGCCAGGAAGTGCCCAAGATGATCGTGCAGGGCGTGCGGGATGCTTTTGGCCAGTTGCCGCCCGGGGTTTCGCTGGAGACACTCGGCGATGCAGAAGAGGTGGAGCGGATCAAGTCTGGCATCGTGGCAGGTGCGCATTTCGAGACCCCCTTGATGCCAGTCATTGCCAGTCAGTCATTTGGTTTGGAGTTTCTGAAGGTGGCACGGTTTTTGGCGCCGGGCGCCGCCAGGCCTTCAGGCCACGGACCGGAGTTTCCTGGCACTGGCACAGCACCACGGGTTCAAGGACGGCGCTTCCGCACTCATCGCAATTGTCATGCAGCCGGCCGGCATTTGATCACCAGGGCTTTGGGGAGTTCATGACTGCTTATGTGGGGTGACCAGTCGGGGCTTCGAACTCTCCAACCAATGCGAGGCTGCCCTGCGATGGCTGCTCCATCCACACCCACCCACCCACCCGCCCGCCCGCCCGCCCGGCCGCCCTCCCTCCCTCCCACCCACCCACCCACCCACCCACCCATCCATCCAATTTATCCATCCATCCATCCATCCATCCATCCGTCCGTCCGTCCGTCCGTCCGTCCGTCCGTCCGTCCGTCCGTTCATCCACCATCCGTCCTTCCGTCCATCCATCCATCCATCCATCCATCCATCCATCCATCCATCCATCCATCCATCCAATCACTCGAAAGGGTCTACACAAAAACGGAGCTTCGTTGCATCAAATACAACGCCCGCATATTCGATACCTGGACCTTGTCCAGCAGGCACATCCTTGAAGCGATGTGAGTACATGCTCCACTCCACGACTTATGATTTATCCAACACACTAATCCGGCCTGCTGTCGCAGGAAGATGTGTTTTAAAGCTTGTGTGCTGTCCCGAACGCTTGCGTTACATACGCGTGGCCTCGTTTTGCGTGTTGGGTTGGTTTCTTTCAATGACCCTGTCGCCATGCTCAGGCATGGCTTCAAGACGCTTGGTCCCAGCACCGTGGCCATCGCGCCTGGAGGCTAGTACCTTTGCATGCAGCAAGTGCAAGACATGCAAATGCAAAGCCTCAGCCCGTGTCCCCGGACTTGAGCCTGAGAGTGTCGCTGGCCTCAGTGGTGTACCCACCCGCCCCCAACTAATGCATGGAAGGGGCGGGGACCCTTATATAACGTATGGAGGTGCTCGTATATGTTTGTGCGTGTCCCATTGAGGGGCGCATTCAGCGGATTTTGGCGCAGGCCAAGCGAAGCTCTTCGCAGCCTGGTCGGGGACGGGGCGCCTGCTGCTGCTGCGCGGGCGCCAGGTCCTGCGTTGCACGGAGGAGAAGCTCCATCCCAATCCCCTCTAAAATAGACTAAAATGGGTGGTGCACCTACCCCAAAATGGTACCATTGGTTTTGACCCACAGCCACATAGGGAAGGGGGGGTGGCGAGGCAAAGGCCGCGACGCAAGCTGCGTTCCCCTGACAGGAGCACGTTTGCAACCGCGAGGATGAGCGCCGGCGTGTCTCTGGGACTGGCGCCCAGCTCATCCAGGAGTGGGCAAGGGGCTCGCATGGGCAGAGTTATACAGAACGCCGGGTGACAAAACAACCGCATTCCCAGGACCTGCGTGGTGTTTGGTGGCTGGGTCGGCCTGGCAATCCTGAGCTGGCGTGGGCTCGTCAACAGTGCTATGAGGACGTTGTCCCTTGGCGGGGTGTTGCAGGGGCAATGCACGACATCGCCAACATTGACCCCCTCAATTGCCACCAACCACCATGAATCAGCAAGGTGGGCAGGCGCAACACGTTCAAGACAAGCCACAAAACATGCGATTCTCTTGATTGCCATTATTCCGTTCGTTCTCTCTTTCATTTGCTTGTTCTTTGTTTTCTGTCTCTCTTTCTCTCTCTATCTCCTTTTTTTTGGTGTGTGTTTGTTTCTAAACGGTGGCCAGTGCCTTTCTTTGGGGCCGTTGGCTGAGGCTGGGCCCAAGACCTATCTTGCAGCTTCAAGAGGCTTCGGAGCGCCTTGGTCTTTTCAGCACGCGGACATGCGCAGACATTGGCGGGGCGTGCTCAGGATATTCTCCTCAAGGGCCCGCCCTACCCAGCCACTCGCCCTGCAGTGTCCTGCTCTAGAAAGGAAGGCAGATGGAGTGCACTGAAGCAATGTGACGTGGCGGGATAGCCTCAGGTGCTGGCTGCCGGTCCCGAGGTCCAGGCGGGCGATTTGCCAATGAGCAAGGGGGAGAGAGGTTTGAACGGATCCCATCGCTGTGAAGCGTTTCTCAATTCGGCGCATTTCCCTTTCAGTGACAGGGCTGTGTGTTTTGGCGCTTCGCGCAGCCTTTCTGCTTCCTTCAAGATGCCACCACACAAAGAACAACCCGGACGTGTTCTCTTTCCGCAAGCTTTTTGCCCGTGCCACAATCACAACAAATATACGAACTGAGTCCTCTTTGTGAAAGGACGCTTTTGGCGCCTGGAGCATGCATTGAAGCTTCAGAAAACGGTGTATGTGCACAAGCGGCTCGAAACCAAACAAAAATGCTGCCAAAGAGCAGCTGGTTTGTGTAAGAAAGCTGCTCGAGCTTGCAGGTGGTCGACTTGTGTCCCGATGACTGGGCGGTAGTTCTTGCAACCCATGGGGTGCTTGCCGCCTCCTGGCAGCACGGCCTTGGCAACGGTGTCCGAAGCTCCTTGAAGAACATCAGTTGCGAGTCGTTGCGAGGTCCTCAGCGACCAAGATGTGGCAAATGCATGCTTGGAGCCTTGGGCGGCACTTCTGCGAACTTGT